TGGCATTAGTGAATAATTTTTCCCATCTGTGGGCTGCCTTTTTGTCTTGCTGACTATGCCCTTTGCATTACAGAAGCTTCTCAGTTTCAGGAGGTCCCATTTATTAATTGTTGATCTCATTGTCTGTGCTAGTGTTGTTATGTCTCCTGTACCAATTCGTTCAAGGGTACCACCCACTTTCTCTTCTAAGAGGTTCAGTGTACCTGGATTTATGTTGATCCATTTGGATTTATGTTTTGTGCATGGCAAAAAACATGGCTTGATCCACATTTTTCTACATGTCAGCCTCCAGTTATGCCAGCACCATTTGTTCAAGATGCTTTCTTTATTTCATTGTATATTTTTAGCTTCTTTGTCAAAGATCAGATGTTCATACGTGTGTGGGTTAATATCTGGGTTTTCAATTAGATTCCATTGGTTTACCTGTCTATTAATGTTCCAATACCAAGCTCTTTTCATGAATATAGCTCTATAATAGAGCTTGAGGTCAGGGATGGTGATGCCTCCGGACGTTGCCTTGTTGAACAGGGTTGTCTTGGCTATCTTGGGTCTTTTGTTTTTCCATACAAAATTGATGATTGTTCTTTCAAGGTCTGTGAAGAATTGTGCTAGGATGTTAATGGGGATTGCATTGAATGTGTAGATTGTTTTTGGCAGGATTGCCATTTTTATATATTGATCCTACCTCTCCCAGAGCATGGGAGATCTTTCCATTTTCTGAGGGCTTCTTTAATTTCTTTCTTTAAAGATTCAAAGTTCTTGTGATACAGGTCTTTCACTTGTTTGGTTAGTGTTACCCCAAGGTATTTTATGTTGTTTGTTGCAATTGTAAAGGGTGTTGATTCTCTCATTTCTTTGTCAGCCCTTTTATCATCTGTATACAGTAGGGCTACTGATTTTCTTGAGTTGATCTTGTAGCCTGCCACTTTGCTGAAGGTGTTAATCAGCTGTAAGAGTTCCCTGGTAGAGTTCTTTGGGTCATTGATGTAAACTTTCGTATCATCTGCAAACCGTGAAAGTTTGACCTCTTCCTTCCCAATTTGTATCCCCTTGATCCCCCTTTGTTGTCGTATGGCAATGGCTAGAACTTCAAGTACCATGTTGAAAAGGTATGGAGAGAGTGGACAGCCTTATTTTGTTCCTGATTTTAGAGGAATTCGTTGAGTTTCTGTCCATTTAGTTTGAAGTTGGCTGTTGGTTTACTCTATATAGCTTTTATTATGTTTAAGTATGTCCCTGTTATCCCAGATCTCTCCAAGACCTTTATCATGAAGGGGTGTTGGATTTTGTCAAAGGCTTTTTTGGCATGTAGTGAGGTGATCATGTGATTTTTGTTTTTCAGCTTGTTTATATGGTGGATTACATTGATTGATTTTCGTATGTTGAACCATCCCTGCATCCCTGGGATGAAACCTACTTGATCGTGGTGAATGTTTGTTTTGATGTGTTCTTGGATCTGATTTGTCAGTATTTTATTGATTATTTTTTCTTCAATGTTCCTGAGGGATATTGGTCTGAAGTTCTTTTTCTTAGTTGTGTTTGTGTGTGGCTTGGGGATAAAGGTTTTTGAAACCTCATAGAAAGCATTTGGCAAAGACCCTTCTGCTTCTATTGTGTGGAATGCTTTGAGAAGAATTGGTATAAGCTGTTCTTTGAATTTCTGGTAGAATTCTGCTCTGAGACCATCTGGACCTGGACTTTTTTTGATTGGGAGACTTTTGATGACTGTTTCTATTTCCATAGGGTTTATAGGTCTATTTAAATTGCTTATCTGTTCTGATTTAGTTTTGGCAAGTGATAGCTATCCAGGAAGTTGTCCATTTCCTTTAAATTTTCCAATTTTGTGGAGTACAGGTTTTCAAAGTATGACATGATGATTCTCTGGATTTCCTCAGAGTCTATTGTTATGTCCCCCTTTTCATTTCTGATTTTGTTAATTTGCATGTTCATGCTCTGCTGTTGGGTAAGTTTGGACAAAGGTTTGTCTATCTTGTTGACTTTCTCAAAGAACCAACTCTTCGTTGCATGGATTCTTTGTATTGTTTTCCCAGTTTCCACTTCATTGATTTCAGCCCTCAATTTGATTATTTCCTGGCGTCTACTCCTCCTGGGGGAGTTTGCTTCTTTGTGTTCTAGAGCTTTCAGCTGTGCTGTTAATTCTCTAGTATAACTGTTCTCTAGTTTCTTTGTGTTGGCGCTTAGTGCTATGAACTTACCCCGTAGCACTGCTTTCAAAGTGTCCTATAAGTTTGGGTATGTTAAATCTTTATTCTCATTGAATTCGAGGAAGTCTTTAATTTCTTTTTGTATTTCTTCTTTGACCCAAGAATGGTGCAGTTGATGAGTATTCAATTTCCATGAGTTTGTAGGTTTTCTGCAATTTGTGTTGTTGTTGAATTCTAATTTTAAAGCATGGTGGTCTGATAAGATGCATGGAGTTATCCCAAATTTTTGTAGCTGCTGAGATTTGATATGTTGCCAAGTATGTGGTCGATTTTTGAGAAGGTTCCATGTGGTGGTGAGAAGAAGGTATATTCTTTTTTATGTGGATGAAATGTTCTATAGATGTCTGTTAATCCCAGTTGTGTCATTACTTCTATTAGACCCTTGTTTCTTTGTTGTGTTTCTGTCTGGTATTCCTGTCTAGTGGTAAGAGTGGTGTTTTGAAATCTCCTGCTATAACTGTTTGGGGCTTTATGTGATTAAGTTCTAATAATGTTTCTTTTATGAATGTGGATGCCTTTGTATTTGGGACACAGATGTTCAGGATAGACACTTCATCTTGGTGGATTTCACCTGTGATGAGTATGTAATGACCTCCTTCATCTCTTTTGATTGATTTTATTTTAAAGTCTAGTTTATTAGATATTAGGATTGCTACCCCTGATTGTTTCTTGGGTCCATTTGATTGAAAAAAATTTTCCCAACCTTTAACTCTCAGGAAATGTCTGTCTTTGAGGGCGAGTGAGGTGTGTTTCTTGTATGCAGCAGAAGGAAGGTTTCTGTGTTTGAATCCATTCTGCTAGCCTGTGTCTTTTTATGGGTGAATTAAAGCCATTAATGTTGAGGGATATTAATGACCATTGATTGCTTATCCTTCCTTGATTTACAATGTTTGTTGTTGGTGGAATTATGTGTGGAATTTCACCCCTTTGTTCTTTTGGATGTTGGTAGAGATGGATTCTCTAATGCCTATGTTTTTCTGGTTGTAGTTAGTTTCCTTAGGTTGGAGTTTTCCTTCCAAAAGTTTCTGTAGGGCTGGGTTAGTGGATAAGTATTGCTTGAATCCAGTTTTGTCATGGGATACCTTGTTTTCTCCATCTATAGTGATTGAGAGCTTTGCCGGGTATAGTAGTCTGGGCTGGCATCCATGGTCTCTTAGTGTTGGTAGAATATCTATCCAGGACCTTCTGGCTTTCAGAGTTTCCATGGAGAAGTCAGGTGTAATTCTGATAGGTTTGCCTTTATATGTTACTTGATCTTTTTCCTTAGCTACTCTTAATATTCTTTCTTTATTCTGTATATTTGGGGTCTTGATTATTATGTGGCGAGGAGACTTTTTTTAGTGGTCCACTCTATTTTGTGTTCTGTAAGCTTCTTGTACCTTCATTGGCATGTCTTTCTTAAGGTTGGGAAAATTTTCTTCTATGATTTTGTTGAATATGTTTTCTGCCCCTTTGAGGTGTTTTTTTCTCCTTCTTCTATACCTATTATTCTTAGGTTTGGTCTTTTCATGGTGTCCCATATTTCCTGGATGTTTTGTGTTAAGGATTTGTTGGACTTGTTTCTTGCATTTTTTGCTTTGTTTCTTCCATTTCATGCCTTTTTTGGTACATTTCTTCTTCCATTTCCTACCTTTTTTGCTTTGTTTTTCTTCCATTTCATGCCTTTTTTGCTTTGTTTCTTCTTCCATTTCTTTCATTTTTTTGCTTTGTTTTTTCTTCTATTCCTTGCATTTTTTGCTTTGTTTTTTCTTCCATTTCCTGCCTTTTTTTGGTTTGTTTTTTCTTCCAATTCTTGCATTTTTTCGTTTGTTTTTTCTTCCAGTTCTTGCATTTTTTTTGGTTTGTTTTTTCTTCCATTTCTTTGAGGGATTTTCCTCTATCCTCTCTTAGGGCCTCTATCATTTTCATGAAAGTGGTTTTAAGGTCATTCTCTTCTGCTTCGTTCGCATTGGAATGTTGGAGTCTTGCTGGTGTGGAGTCTCTAGAATCTGGTGGTGTCATATTTCTTTTTCTGTTGCTGAGTGTGTTTTTGTATTGTCTCTTTCCCATCTCTTTTTCTAGTGGGTGCAGAAAGAGCCCCTTACTGGTTTGGTGGTTAGGGGACCAGAGTTCCCTTTTGGTGGGTGCTAGCAAGTCCAATAATCTGGTGGTTCTTCTATTCCTTGTCCTCGTTCTGGTCCCATGGGTGGAGAAGAAGAACAGGAATCTGGGGCGCTTAGGCTCCCACCTGGTCCCCTGGACCATTTGCTGGATCCTGTTGTACCTGATCCTGAGGCCGGAACAGCTTCTCCCCCTGGTCTCCCTGGCTCCTCTGGTTTCCTGGCCTCGTTGGTGGGAGAGAACTCCTGGAGTCTGGGGTGTTTGGCTCCCGCCGGGATTGGAAGCTCTGTGCAGTTCCCAGGTGATCCCCAGGCACTGGAACACAGGCCCAGAAGCCGGCCTGTTGTACCTGATGCCATCGCCAGAACCTAGCTACGATTTCTTGTAATGTGATTATATCAGCAAAAACACAAGATGTGGAAGAATTATCTTACGTGGTTACCGGGATGTACTTATCAACAAAGTTATGGTCACATTTATTTATTTATTTATTCATTTGTTTGTTTATTTGGGTTTTAATGAGAACTTGGACAAGGATTCCTGTTAACCATGGTTCCTATTTTTATTGGAATTTCTGCCACTTCAATCCAATTATAAAGTGCCCCACTTACTGTTGTTGATCAGGGTTACCACCACATTCCTAGTGCCTTTTATTACATTGACTTTCTTTTTCAGGTATGTACCATGAGCCCAAGTGCAGACGTAATTCTCCTAACCATTCAATGTTGTTGGTTGGCTTTGGCTATGAAGGCAGAGAGTCTGAGGGCAGGAAATATTGGCTGGTGAAGAACAGGTATAAGTTGCTGAAAATTTTTGTATTTTAGGTTTCGAATGAACTTTCTATTTGTAATTATAGTTTAGGTACAAGTCACAGAAAGAGGAACATTTTCTTTCCTTTTTTGTTGTTCCAGTGTGTGTGTGTGTGTGTGTGTGTGTGTGTGTGTGTGTGTGTACGTGTGTGAGTGTGTGTGCGCATGTGTGTGTGTGTGTGTATTTGTGTGTATATGTGCAGTGTGTGTAGGCCATGCTGATGCCAATTGTCCGCCTCAATACTTCTGCATTGAGAAAGAGAGTATCAATGATCCTAGAGTTTCATATTTTCGCTAGTGTGCTTATCTAGTTTGTTTTAGTTATTCATTGGCTTCTGGAAATACAGAGTAACTGCAAAAACATTCTAGATTTTTTTAAAGTTACTTTCACTTGTGGTAAGTGTGTGTCTGTGTGAGTGAATGCTGTGTGTGGGCAGAAGCTCTTGCTGACCAGACAGACACTACATTGTCCACAGCTTCAGGTACAGGGGATTGTGAGCTCACTGCCCTGTGTACTGGGTGGAAACTGTTGTCCTGTGGAAGAACTCCTAGTGCTCCTAGGCACTAATATATAGTTTCAGCCTCATTTTGGCTTTTTAGGTGGAACTTGGACTTAAACTTCAGACCTCTGTGATTAGACAGTAAAGCAACTAATATAATATATGAACACAGAGTCACTGTTTTCTTGGTAGTTAATATAATCTTTGCACCATTGATTTTGCATTTTCTCATTGGTAATTTCTGAACAACCCATGGGTGGAAGATGCCCTAATTTCCCCTGGTGTGATTTTTTTTTGCTGTCCTCTGTAAGATAACTTGTGATACTCTGGAATTGATTTTCTACCTTTTCTGATGTTTTCTACTGAGTTGACCTCTGGCTCAGTGCTCAAATGCAGAGTTATTGTAGTAGTCCACTCTGATGATATGTCTTGTCTATTAAATGTGAAACCTGATTTCTTTCAGCCATGGTGACAATTGGGGAGAAAATGGCTACATGAAGATTCCCAGAGATCAGAACAACTACTGTGGAATTGCTTCCTATGCCTTGTACCCTATATTGTGAGCTGCCTGGGGATGAGAAGGCAGAGAAGATATTAGGGGCAGCACACACGGAAGAACCCCAGCCTCTTCAGAGTGATGCCCTCTGCTGAGTGCAGGAGATGCTTGAACCATTGAAAGGCCATGGCAGGATGTGAAATCTGTGGTTTTTGCTTACTCTACTAATACATGACAGCTACTGTAACTGATGCTCTGCACCCATTTCTGTTAAGACTTCCTGTAGTTGCCGCTGGGTGGTGGTGGTGGAGGTAGTGATGGTGAATGGCTTTAATTCCACCACTCAGGAGGCAGAGGCAGGTGTCTCTAGGAGTTCAAGGCCATTCTGGTCTACAAAGCTACACAGAGAAAACCTGTCCCCCCCAAAAAAAGACTTCCTGTAGTGACTTGACTTTAACTTTTTCACTGTACTGAAAAAGACCTTTAAAAATAAAAGTCAAATTCAAAGGTATTATTTAGTATTTCATTTTGGGAGATGACCTTTTTGTTTTAATGATCAAACATAGTATTCATCTTGAACTGCGTGTGGTGCTGCTGTTCCAGGAGGAAGAGTGGGCAGCTCCTCTGTCATGGGTGGCCTTCAGTCATTGGATGTTCATTGCATCCAGAGTGTGATTTGTATATCAGCATCCCTGCTCCTAAAGACTACATGAAAACCCCTCTGAGTTTGATGTTTTTCAGCTGACACGAATTCACCCAGTTTCAGTTCTTCACCCCTCTGTGGAGTTTGATGTGACTGTGTCCCCCACCACATTGTGATAGGCTGTGACGCTACCCTCTTTCCAGCAACCCAATCCCATTCTAGTTTGTCTGTGACTGTGTCCCCGGAAATCAAGATAACCCAAGTCTGCAATTACAGAACCGATCTTCCAGAATGTTCAGCGCTTCAATGTGCTTGAGCGCTGACCTTGCTTTCAACACAGGCTTTTGCCATTCAGGGTCCTAGTCTCTTATTGCCTATGGTTGATAATCCTCAGGCTCAACTATCTGATGCATTCAACTTTGCCTCAGGCATGCACATTCAGAAAAATGTGACACATATAAATTACTACATATGTATTATTTTGGTGTGTACCATTTAGAGCTATCTCTGGGATCAAGCATGTAGGGTAGGTATTAGCATGGACCCTCAGTTCATAACAAATGACCAGTATACGCAGATCTCATTTCAGCTTCTAGTACTTGACTTCAGAGATTGGATATTGGGTCTTGGTAACCTTACCTGCATGGTCATCATGGAGACAGAAGTCTGGGAGTGCTTTTCTGTACATACACATTAAATAGGACGTCTGCTTGGCCAGAATCCTCTTTACCCCACAGTATTTTTTTTGTCAACGTTCTATCTATTGAGTCTCAGTCTGCTCCTTACTGTAAAATTCACCTATTCTTCTGCGCATGAAAGGAAGCTCCCTCTCCCCTTTTATTGCAGGACTCCATACAAATGAACCCTGCATCTATATACCACTCTTTGGTACAGTCTTCCAAGCAGCAATTTGATAAGGACTGTGTTATCATCCTCCTTAAACAGTAGTTCTTTGACTCTTCTTCTTCCCATGTGGCACTAGCAAAGCAGGCATCCTGGTCAAATGGAGTCCACGTTCTTGGTGAGTCTTAATTCTCAGTTCCTATGACTGCAGCAGTGATAGTCTCATTTCTTCTGGCACCTCACGATCCCACAATTGTGGTGGAAAAGCCGATGATGAATGATAGGCAGTGTGGAACTATGAAGATAATAAAACTCAGCTTTTCTTTCTGGGGCCGGAAGGCCTCCTGCTGTGTGCTTTTCACCTGCAAAACACAATAAACATATATTCTACTATATAGGCATGATTGACATTTCCTGTCCATCCATTTTGTCCAGTGGCCAAAAGGTGAGGTCCTATTCCTTTGAAGACTTGCCTTGTGTGAAATGCAGGAAATGCTAAATGCATGTGCATGTAGTCAAGAAAGAACTGGATCCTTTTGGACATTGGCTCCTTCCTTATTAATCCCAGGTCTTTCCACTGGGACTTTTGTGTCCAGGATAATGCATTTTTTTTTGCTCTCAGTGTTACTGTCCTTTTCTGTTGAGAAATTACGGGATATCTACCAGGAAAATTTCTTCATTTTATATATGATGGCCTGGTTCAGTTAAGAGAGGAGCCATAAACTCAGAACTCGGAGAGATCCTCTGAGAAACGACAGTGTCAGAGAGTACCCCTTGTGAGTGTACTTGTGAATATTCTATGCCAAGTAGCTCCCTTATATGGGAGCTTTATCAGACAGAGATGGTGTTGACCAGTCCACCCCCAGTAGCTGCTATTGTTCATTTGGATGATCCATGATTTCTTAGTGGGTACACGGAATTGAATTTTGGGGGCACATTGAGCTAATCTGCAATGGACCTTGCATATATATGGACAGTTAATTGTGTCTGAGACATTTATACTTAGCGGCTGTGACAGTGACAGGGATTGGACAGAATTGGTGGCTCAGCAGTTTTACTCCTCTGTGATCCATGGTGGTCTTATCTTATTCTTGATGCAATCATTGGAAGTGTGAAGGTTCCCCTCTTGTTATTGGAAAAAACACAATGAGTTTGTACTTTCCCTTTGCCGCATAAAGCAACTCTTTAACCCAGTGAGGCAAACACCACATTGTGAAATAGTTTTTTATCCGGTGCCTCTGGTAGAATCATTCAGGATCCAATAACCATAGAATTCATGCCTTTCCAACTTTATCACCTATAGCACATTTCTTATTTCCTGAGAGACTGATGAGACCTTATTTTTCATATTTAAGTTGTTGCACTCATCTTGAAGTCTTGGGTCATAAAAACATTCTGAATTTATTTAAAGATATTCTATACCATAATTAAAGGATAAGGTTTAACATATTCTTATTTGCATTTTTGCCCCAACAAGGGCTACTTTTAGCAGACTTGAGTAAGCCCATCATTCTTTTTTTAATTTTTTAAAATTTAAATTAGAAAAAAGCTTGCTTCACATGTCAATCCCTGCTCCCTCTCATTCCCCTCCACCCCATCCCCCATCAGCCTTCCCCAAATCCCCACCCAATCCCCACCCTGGACCCCAAGGAGCATGAGACCCTCCATGGGGGATCTCCAAAGTCTGTCATTTCTTCTGTGGCAGCTCCTAGGCCCCCAGAATGTGTCCAGGCTGAGAGAGCATCTCTCCATGTGGAATGGGCTCCCAAAGTCCATTCATATGCCATGGATAAACACTGTTCTACTACCTGAGGCCCCATAGATTGCTGGGGCCTCCCTACTGACACCCAGATTTAGGTGGTCTGGATCAGTCATGACTCTCAGTCATCATTCAGGTGCCCATGGGCTCCCCTTGTTCAGGTCAGCTGTTTCTGTGGGTTTCATCAGCCCGGTCATGGCTCCTTCGCTCATCACTCCTCCCTCTTTGCAACTGGGTTTCAGGAGTTCAGTTTGTTGTTGAGCTGTGGGTGTCTGCCTCTGCTTCCTTCAGCCACTGTATGAAGGCCCTAGATTGGCATATAAGGTAGTCGTCAATCTCATTATCAGGGAAAGGTATTTAACTTATCCTCTCCATTATTCCTTAGACTGCCAGTTAGTGCCATCCTTGTAGAACTCTGGAAATCTCCTCAAACCTGTAACAACTCTCTCTATTATGGTATCTCTCATCCTCCTCTTTGTTATTCTCCCGACTCAACCTTCCTACTTCCCCATATCCTCCTTTCCCCTCTTCTTCTCCCTCTCTCTTTTGCCCTGTTGTCTATCCACTCCCCCAATGCTACCAATCACCACAGGAGATCCTGTTCCTTTCCCCTTCTCCAGGGTACCATGCAGATTTATCTTAGGGTCCTCTGTTTCCCAGACTCTCTGGTGGTGGGGTTATAGGCTGGTACTCCCCTGCTCCATGCCTAAAATCCATGTATGAGTGCTCCATGTCTAAAATCCATATGTGAGTGAAAACATACTATGTTTGTCTTTTTGTGACTGGGTTACCTAACTCTGGATGGTTTCTTCAAGTGTCATCCATTTGTCTGTAAATTCCAGGATTCCATTGTTTGTTTTTTCCAGCTGAGTAGTAAATGTACCACATTTTCTCTATCCAGTCTTTACTTGAGGGGCATCTAGGTTGCTTCCATGTTCTGACTATTACAAATAATGCTGCTATGAACATAGTGCAACACATATCCTTGCTGTATGAATGCGCAACTTTTGGGTATATGTCTAAGAGTGTAATTGCTGGATCTTGTGTTAGACTGATTCACATTTTCCTGGGGAACCTCCATACTGGTTTCCAAAGTGGCTGTATGAGTTTGCACTCCCACCAGCACATTCTCTCCAGCATAAACTGTCATAGGTGTATTTGATTTAAGCCATTCTGACAAGAGGAAGATGGACTCTCTGAACTGTTTTGCTTTGCATTTCCCAGTTGGATGTTGAGAACTTTCTTAAGTATCTATCAGCCATTTTAGACTCCTCTATGGAGAATTCTCTATTTAGATCTGTACCCCACTTTTTAATTGTATCTTTTGGTGTTTTGGAGATTTGCTTCTTGAGTTGTTTGTAAAATTTGGAGATCAACCTTCTCTCAGATGTGGGATTAGTGAATATCATTTCCCATTTTGTGGTCTGCCTTTTGGCTTGTTGACTGTGTCCTTTGCCTTACAGAAGCTTCTCAGTTTCAGGAGGTCACATTTATTAATTGTCTATCTCAGTGATTTCAGGAAGCAGTCTCCTGTACCAATCCATTCAAGGGTACCTCCCACTTTCTCTTCTAAGTGGTTCAGTGTAGCTGGATTTATGTTGAGTTCTTTGATCCACTTGGACTTACTTTTTGTGCAAGGTGATAGACATGGGTCTGTCTGCAGTTTTCTATATGCTAACATCCAGTTATGCGAGTGCCATTTGTTGAAGATGCTTTCTTTTTTCTATTGTATATTTTTAGCTTCTTTTTCAAAGATCAGGTGTTCATATGTGTATGATTTAATATTGGGAAGTTCAATTTGATTCCATTGGTCTACCTGTCTATTTTTATGCCAATACCAAGCTTTTTTTCCCCAGGACTATAGCTCTATAATAGAGCTTGAAGTCGGGGATGGTGATGCCTCTGGGAGTTCCTTTATTTTACAGGGTTGTTTTGGCTATCCTGGGTCTTTTACTTTTCCATATAAAGTTGATCATTGTTCTTTCAAGATCTGTGAACAATTTTGCCAGTATTTTGATGGGGATTGCATTGAATCTGTAGATTGCTTTTGGCAAGATTGACATTTTTACTACATTGATCCTACCTACCCAAGAGCATGGGAGATCGT